ACACCCATACCCCTAGGGGGATCGGAGAAGGCTATGGGTGCGTGCTGTCGGATGGGGGTCCCCGCTCGAACGGGAGCGCTCCCCAGGGTCCGACAACCCGCACCCATACCCATAGCCAGTCCTCCTCCCAACGAGCAGACCTCCCATAGCCAGTCCTCCCATACCCAAAGCCAGTGCCGAGGCAAACGCGAAGAGCAGCAGGCCACCCTCCCCGAGCCGACCTCTCGATCCCGTGCCCCGGGTCCGACACCGCACGGCGAGGCGCACGCGGGAGAGTGCGGGCGAAGCGAGAGGGTGCGGCCAGCCGCAGGGTTAAGTTGGGCCTGTCCCCCTGCAGAGGGATTTTCGACGAAAAATAAAAAACATACCCCCAAAATAATCCAAAAAAATAATCCAAAAATAGTCTGGGGACTATTTGGGAAGTATTTGTTGACCTTCTTGGGGCATTTTCGGGATATTTACCTAACAGCGTAGACTGATAGGTTTCTAATGGGCTAAAAAAAGCTCACAGATCACTCCACAGGGGGGTCCGGGCAGGTGTTGGGAGTTGCCGGGCGGGTTGAGTCCACCTCGTTTTTCACCAACAGTCACACACTTCGTGCTCTTCGAGTTCCCAGAACTCCATTCCCAGGCTCATTCTGAATAACCGGATGCAACAGTCACACACTTCGTGCTCTTCGAGATCCCAGAACGCCATTCCCGGGCCACCTTTAGAATAACCGGATGCAACAGTCACACACTTCGTGCTCTTCGAGTTCCCAGAACTCCATTCCCGGGCCACATTCTGGAGGGCCGGATGCAACAGTCACACACTTCGTGCTCTTCGAGTTCCCAGAACTCATTCCCGGGCCACATTTTGGATGCCCGGAGCCAACTGTAGGCCACTTCGTGCTCTTCCAGAACTCCTTCGGGGCCACTTTGAATGCCCGGTGCCAACTGTAACTTCGTGCTCTTCGAGTTCCAGAACTTCATTCCGGGCCACATTTTGAATGCCCGTAGCCAACTGTAGGCAACTTCGTGCTCTTCGACTTCCCAGAACTCCCATTCCTGGGCCACATTTTCAGCAGGGGCAAGAGCACGACGAGGAGGAGGACGAGCAAGACCAGGAGGACGAGGACGAGCAGGAGCAGGACGAGGAGCAGGAGGAGCAGGAGAAGAAGGACGAGCAGGAGGAGGAGGAGGACGAGCAGGAGGAGGAGGACGACCAGGAGGAGGAGGACGACCAGGAAGAGGAGGAGGAGGAGGAGGAGGAGGGGAGGGGGAGGAGTACCAGGAGGAGGAGGAGGAGGAGGAGGAGGAGGAGGAGGAGGAGGAGGAGGAAGAGGAGGAGGAGGAGGAGGAGGACGAGGACGAGGAGGAGGAGGAGGAGGGGGGGGGAGAGTACCAGGAGGAGGAGAACGAGGACCACCAGGAGGAGGAGGAGGAGGAGGTGGGGAGGAGGAGGGAGGAGGAGGAGGAGGAGAGAAGACACACCAGGAGGAGGAGGACGAGCAAGACGAGGAGGACGAGAACGAGACGACAGGACAGGAAGAGGAAGAGGAGGAGGAGGGGAGGGGGAGGAATACCAGGAAGAGGAGGAGGAGGAGAAGGAGGAGGAGGAGGAGGAGGAGGGAGGAGGAGGAGGAGGAGGAGGACGAGGAGGAGGAGGAGGAGGGGGGGGGAGAGCACCAGGAGGAGGAGAACGAGGACCACCAGGAGGAGGAGGAGGAGGAGGAGGAGGAGGAGGGGGGGGGAGAGCACCAGGAGGAGGAGGACGAGCAAGACGAGGAGGACGAGAACGAGGACGAGCAGGAGGAAGAGGAGGAGGAGGAGGAGGAGGAGGAGGAGCAGGAGAAAGAGGAGGAGGAGGAGGCAGGCTGAGGCTGAGGCTGTGACTGCGACTGCCGTTGCCGCTGCGACTGTCATCGCGAATGCGACTACGACTGCGAGAACAGCAGAATTCGACAACTGGAGAACAGCAGAATTCGACAACTGGAATGCTTTCAGATATGCTTCTACACATCGCTGTTAGGTTGCTTTGCCGGGATAATTTTTATTTTTCGTCGAAAATCCCCCTGTAGAGGACGCGCCCGGCATAACCGCAGGGGGGGCGGGGGGGGGGGCGCAGGGGGAGGGCGGCGCACTCCGGCCGTGAAGGCCATCCTTCGTAGAGAGCATTTTTACCTAACAGCTTTTGCTGATAGGTTTCTAGTGGTGTCAAAAGAGAGCAGCAGATGACTCCACAGGGGGGTCGGGGCGGGACCCGGGGAGCTGTGTCCGAACTCGTGTCCGAATGCGTTTTTCGCAAACAGTCACACACTTCGTGCTCTTCGACCTCCCAGAACTCCATTCCCGGGCCACATTCTGAATGCCTGGAGCCAACTGTAGGCCACTTCGTGCTCTTCGACTTCCCAGAACTCCATTCCCGGGCCACATTTTGAATGCCCGGAGCCAACTGTAGGCCACTTCGTGCTCTTCGTCTTCCCAGAACTCCATTCCCGGGCCACATTTTGAATGCCCGGAGCCAACTGTAGGCCACTTCGTGCTCTTCGACTTCCCTGAACTCCATTCCCGGGCCACATTTTGAATGCCCGGAGCCAACTGTAGGCCACTTCGTGCTCTTCGACTTCCCAGAACTCCATTCCCGGGCCACATTTTGAATGCCCGGAGCCAACTGTAGGCCACTTCGTGTCTTCGAGTTCCCAGAACTCCATTCCCGGGCCACATTTTGAATGCCCGGAGCCAACTGTAGGCCACTTCGTGCTCTTCGAGCTCCCAGAACTTCATTCCCGGGCCACATTTTGAATGCCCGGAGCCAACTGTAGGCCACTTCGTGCTCTTCGAGCTCCCAGAACTTCATTCCCGGGCCACAGTTTGAATGCCCAGAGCCAACTGTAGGCCACTTCGTGCTCTTCGAGTTCCCAGAACTCCATTCCCGGGCCACATTTTGAATGCCCGGAGCCAACTGAGGCTGAGGCAGGCTGCTGCTGAGGCAGGCTGAGGCTGAGGCTGAGGCAGGCTGATGCTGAGGCAGGCTGAGGCTGAGGCTGAGGCTGATGCAGGCTGAGGCTGAGGCAGGCTGAGGCTGAGGCTGAGGCTGAAGAGGCTGAGGCTGAGGCTGAGGCTGAGGCTGAGGCTGAGGCTGAGGCTGAGGCAGGCTGAGGCTGAGGCTTAGGCAAGCTGATACTGAGGAAGACAGCAGGCTGAGGCTGAGGCAGGCTGAGGCTGAGGCAGGCTGAGGCAGGCTGAGGCTGAGGCTGAGGCTGAGGCTGAGGCTGAGGCTGAGGCTGAGGATGAGGCAGGCTGAGGCAGACGCTGAGGCAGGCTGAAGCTGAGGCTGAGGCAGGCTGTGCCTGAGGCTGAGGCTGAGGCTGAGGCTGAGGCAGGCTGAGGCTGAGGCTGATGCAAGGTGAGGCTGAGGCAGGCTGAGGCTGAGGCTGAGGCGGAGGCTGAGGCTGTGGCTGTGGCTGAGGCTGAAGCAGGCTGAGGCAGACGCTGAGGCAGGCTGGTGCTGAGGCAGGCTGAGGCTGAGGCTGAGGCTGATGCAGGCTGAGGCTGAGGCTGGCTGAGGCTGAGGCCGAGGCTGAAGGCAGACTGAGGCTGAGGTTGAAGCAGGCTGAGGCTGAGGCCGAGGAGGCTGAGGCTGAGGCTGAGGCAGGCTGATGCTGAGGGTCTGAGGCTGAGGCTGAGGCAGGCTGGCTGAGGCTGAGGCAGGCTGAGGAGGCTGAGGCAGGCTGATGCTGAGGCTGAGGCTGAGGCTGAGGCTGAGGCTGATGCAGGCTGAGGCTGAGGCAGGCTGAGGCTGAGGCCGAGGCTGAAGGCAGACTGAGGCTGAGGCTGAAGCAGGCTGAGGCTGAGGCTGAGGCAGGCTGAGGCTGAGGCAGGCTGAGGCTGAGGCTGAGGCAGGCTGAGGCTGAGGCTGTGACTGCGACTGCCGTTGCCACTGCGACTGTCATCGCGAATGCGACTGCGACTGCGAGAACAGCAGAACTCTACAACTGGATTCTCATCTGAATCTTAAGGGGAATGCTTCCATATATGCTTCTACACATCGCTGTTAGGTTGCTTTGCCGGGATAATTTTTAAACCTCCTCGTCATGAGCACCCCGGCAAGCGAGGCAGCTCAGCGAGCGCACCCTAGGGAGGAATCGAGCAGGGCGGGGCCGTGCAACAAGCGCCCAGGGCCGCTCCGTGAACGCCACTGTGGGGGATCGGGGTGGTCTTTCCTCCCTTGACTTCGCGTGCTGCGCTGCGATCTCAAGCTCCTGGCGGGTACCCTTGAAATCGACGTTGCGAACAGATGCCAATATCGTGCAAAAATCACCGCACCCCTGGACCCCATCTTCTCGCTGCACTTGGTTCAAGCCGGATCGACCTGTTTTGGCCTCAGGGCCCGAAACTGGGCGAAAACGCTCGGCGTGGAACAAAAAGTGCAACGCCCAGATCCCAGGAGGCCTCAGCCAACTTCGAAGCAGGAAGCGCCTCACCCTCACGGCCTGAGCCCAGCGGCCTCTCTGGGCCCTTCCCTCCTCCCTCCTCCCTCCCCCCTCCTCCCTCCTCCCTCCTCCCTCCTCCCCCCTCCCCCCTCCCCCCTCCTCCCTCCCCCCTTCTCCTTCTGCAACACCCTGACGGCTCTCCCGCTCCGCTCCACATCGGTCCCTGGATCTTTCTCGAGGCTCGCCCTGGCCCGCTTCTTCGACGCGGGCCCAGCAGCGGCGATGTACAAGACCTCGCCAGACAGCCCTCCAAACAAAAAGACACACAGGGAAGGGAGGGCCGCCGCTGTCTCCCCGGGCCCTCCTCCGCTTCTCACGCGGCCCTCCGGGCCCCCCCCCCCCTCTCTCTCTGTCCGCACCCCCCGTCCCTCCCTCCCCTCGCCATCGCTCGGACGTCCATTCCCTGTGTTTTTTTGTCGGTGTCGTGCGTGGTTTTTCCGCCGAATGATCAAGGATGCTCCTCGATTGTCCTCGCCGAAGGAAAAATGCACACGTCCGAGCGATGCCAAGTCCCGGAGGCGGCTCCTGCCGTCTCCCGCGGTGAGCACGACGCCGTTCGGCGACTGCACCACCTCGACTCCTGCGGCGGCCGAAAAAGGGGGGGGAGGAGGCCAGGCCCAGGAAGGACCACGACGACTACGACGAGGCCCACGGCGGCGACGGCGACGGCAGCAACGACGACGACGGCGACGACGGCGGCGGCGACGACAGCGGCGGCGAGGGCGGCCGAAGAGGGAAATCCTGCCCCGACGGCCACGCGGCGTCGAGCGTTCCGCCGCCGCCGAGGCTTGCGCGCGCGCGCTTTCGAGTCACGGCCTGTCCGCTTCCTGCGCACGAGCCCACGTCTGATCACATCCGGTCCAGACCGCAGCGCTTGTGGGGCAGGATGGCCGCGATCGACAGCCGAAGCCCCCTGGGCCCGGGCAGAGGCGCCGCCCCGCCACCCCAGCTGGATCGAAGAGTGGCATCACCATCCTGGCCGTCGACGTCCACGCAGCAGCATTGTTGCTGTCGTGCTACATAATTGCTGCCTGCTGCTCGTGCGAACGACTTTTGAGCCGCCCTGGGTCCACACGAGGCCGCTCTGTGCGAGAATGGGCTAGAAGCTGCCGCCACAGACCGCCTCGGCATCCCCCGAGACCTGTCTGACTGACGGGAGCCGCCGTTCCCCCCCAGCTGGGCTGACCGACTGGCCGACACCGAGGGAGTCGGGCGCACGCCGACGTGGATTCAAGATGCGCGGATCTGGCGCGTGGGCTCCACGGATCCACGGATTGGGGAAAGTACCCCCCGAACCACGAAGCCAGTGCCGACTGACTTGGCGACGGGACCCGTCGCGAATCCACGCGCCCCAATCCATGCCTCCGCTTCCATGCATCGGGAGCGGCCAAGAGGGGGGTGTCCAAGAGGTGGGTGTGCAAATCATGACCGGCGGCACGTGCGCGGCCCAGCGGGGGGGCCAGGGACGCAATGGAATAGGAAGAGGCGCCATGAAATCTGGGGAACTATCATGGCCCCCGCCATGAAATCCCCCCCCCCCGTCATCACCCCCCTCTTTTCCGCCCCCGAAAAGGATACCCCCCGAAAAGGATACCCCCTAGTCATCACCCCCCTCTTTCCCGCCCCCGAAGAGCAGGAAGGGGCCGACCCCCGACCCGCGCCGCTGGGGCCCGGGCTCCGCTCGCCCCACGCCGCGCGCCACCGGGGGACCCCGCGGCCCCCCCCCGGGCCTGCGAGAGAGGGGCCACCCGCGGGACCCCCGCGCAGGACGCACGGCAGCAAGCCGCCGCAGCCTTGGCTGCTGCGGAGGAGGAGGAGGAGGAGGAGGAGGAGGAGGAGGAGGGGGAAGAGGAGGAGGAGGAGGAGGAGGAGGAGGAGGAGGAGGAGGAGGAGGAGGAGGACTGTGATTTGACTCTTCGGAAGAGGAAGAGGAGGAGGAGGAGGAGGAGGCGGAGGAAGAGGAGGAGGAGGAGGAGGAGGAGGAGGAGGAGTGGAGTACGCCCGTTCCCTCCTTCCCTCCTTCGCTGCCCTCAGATGCGAGGAGTCCTGACGACAGCATGGAAGCCAGGTCCACAAACACGGCGACCGTCGCGTTCGACCTCATGCCACTGATCACGCCGGAGCCTGGGGCCAGAGGGGCCCGACTCGGCGGAGCGCTCTGCGGAGTCAGGGGAGGGCGCACAGCGCTGCTGCTCCCCTCCTCGACCCACATCTCCTCTTCACCTGCGTCCTTTCTATCGCCCCAAGGCCCCCTCGCCTCTCCGATCCTCTCCGTCCTTCTCCTTCCCCTGGTCCCGTCCTTCTGTCACCTCCCTCAACTGTCGATGGCCCAGCTGCAGACCGTGGGCTTCTCAGCTAGGGGGCCTGTTCGTTGATATGTGGCCAGGTCAACCACCGAAGCATGAACGATGCGAGAGAAAGGTGAGGCAAAATGGGACGAGGCGGTGCCGAGTTCAAGGAAGAGCTAAGATACATGGAAAGGTAAAGGGCAAGAAAGAGGCGAGGTCCAGGATTATGCGATGTACGACAATCCTTGATCGCCCGCGGTCAGGGTTCGCTTTGACAGTGGACGGAATCGATGTCGAGTGTGAAGGCCTAGGAACGGTTTGCACCCCAAAGCACCTTTTGTTGGTGTCGCGGCCACGTGCGCGGCGGCGCGGCGAAAGCAGGTCGAGGCAAGCGGGAGCGCGCGGGCCGGGTTAAGACCACGCAGCGTGGAGAAGCTGGGTCCACCTAGAGGGGATCGAATCTACACACACACACGATCGCACCCTGCGATCACGAGGTATACTGTGAAAGGGTAGGTATAAGCGAGGAGATGTACCCCGTACTCTTGGGGACGAGGGATGAAACGAGGTCAGACGATGTGTGGGATGACCTCTACAGGCGATTCGACGGGCCCGTCCCGTGTAAAAAAAAGGCAGAGATGAGGATGGGCAGCGTCAACTGAAGCACTCCATGACAGCGTCGGCGCGGGAAAGCCCCCCGCTCTCGCTGGCACGCTCAGGTTGTGCCCTGCCAGCGCGCAGTGGACAAATACTGGAATGAAAGATAATGAGAATCGTTTAACCGATCCCCATCCCCACTGGCATGGCCTTGGCCTCCCTGGCCGGTGTACCCCCTAGATGGGGATCTAGGCTGCTCCCTTCAGGTTTGCGAAAGCGGCCAAAAATGGGCGGAAGGGGAAGGGCCTATCCCCAACCGGGGGTGTGGAATGGTGGGCCTGAGATACCATGGCCTGGCGAGGATGGAGATAGGCTTAACGACACTGAAGCATGGAACCTATGAGAGAAAGTGGGAGGAAAACCGTTTCTGAAGGGGACGGGCACTGCAATAATCATGAAGCGATCGCAATCTGCACATGGGCAACAACATGAGATGCCTGACAAGGACACATGCAGCAGCGGAAGATGAAGCAACACGATCGGAGCTAGAGTTCAAACGCACGGCAATCGCCAGCCAAAGAAGCCGGGAAGAAGCCTGGGAGCCCCAAGCACAGATGAACGTGGTTCCGCCCCATGCTATTGAGCCCCTCCCTGCGGATCTTGTTCCAGGCCTCTAAGTAGGTGCCGTGGACGACCTCCACGCGGGCCAGCGCCAGGCAGAGGCGCACCGAACAAGAGAAACAGCGCGACTGAGGGCTAGGCCAATACGGAGGAACAGAGGAGAAGGACGAGGAGAATGCGAAAGCGAGGAAAGGAGGAGGAGGAGGAGGAGGAGGAGGAGGAGGAGGAGGAGGAGGAGGAGGAGGAGGAGGAGGAGGAGGAGGAGGACGAGCTAATTATTTCTTCTGGACCTGCCGCAGTGAACACCCCGTGCTCAGCCGGGGCCACGCTCCGTGCCAGCGCTCGGACGTCCGCTCCCCGTGCACTCGTCGGTTTCGTGCGTGCGCTTCGCGAGCTGCTCCTCGAGGGTCCTGGCCGAGATGAAAGCGCACGACCGAGCGAGGAGGAGGAGGAGGAGGAGGAGGAGGAGGAGGAGGAGGAGGAGGAGAAGGGAGGACGAGGAGGAGAAGGAGGAGGAGGAGGAGGAGGAGGAGGAGAGGAGGAGGATGAGGAGGAGGGTCAAGGTCAAGGTCTCGGAGCCCAAGAGCGCGGGAGGGACAGGTCCTCGGTGGGAGGCCGCCCGCTTCGGCGGCGGGCGACTGCTAACGGGCGAAGAGCGGTAGAACATAGACTTTTCCGCCGTCGGGGGCGCCTGTCCCTGGGCGGCTGGAAAGTTGATACCCTTACGGTGGCACCGTAGGGGTACAAACTGTCCAGCCGCCCAGGGACATGCGCCCCCGACGGCGGAAAAGTTTATTTTTTACCGTTCTTCGGTCGCTGAGACTGGGGGGAAGTGAGAAGGCGACGGCCCTCTCAGAATGGCTGCGGGGCTCCTCAGAGGCCCCCAGGCCTTCTGAGAAGCGTTCTGCGTCTCTTCCGGGAGGGCTCACAGAACTTCTCAGCAGGCTGGGGCACTTCCAGGCCTTGACCTTCTCACTTCCCACCCTGCACGCTGCCGGCCGATCACAGCACACCGTCCGACAACCCTACTCCCAGTGGACGTATCCAGGAAGTGCCCAAGACCGCACCCAACTGTTCGGAGCACTTCGACCTCTCAAAAGAGAAGCGCGTGGAGGCAGCCTGCTGGACCCCTCGGGTGCGCAGCACAGCGGCGACAAGTGCCCGCCTGGCAACACCCCGTGAATGGCGCAGACTTGCTGGGTCAACAAAACAACGACTATTCCACGCTTGGCACTGGGCAGCACCCAAAGAGGCGCGGTCCTTTTGGGGCCTGCGAAACACCGTACACAGCCACAGGACGCAGCAAACGCAGAACAAGTTGGTGGCGGAAGAGGAAGGATCAGCACTGCTCAACTGAAAACGGGTCCAATACTCATGCCGCTTCAAAGCTGATTTCGCAAATGCGGCGGTGGAGGCAGGCGCCTCGATGAACAACGTAAAGTAGCGTCCCTTAGCCCAGAGCCGATCCCGTCGCATGTCAAGCGGGGGTGGGCTTTTTGGCCTGGGGGGGTCCCTATCCTGTCGACCCCTCCCTGGTTACATATTAATGCAACATATGAGAGACAGATTAGCCAAGCTAGTCTACGTTAAACTTTCCAGGTCACGCCATTAATCCAATCAGAAACATATTCCAAGGAGCCCCCCTCAGCAGCTTTCGAGCGAAGAGTCGACGCATCATTGTAAGAAACAGTCCTTCTGAGGAAGACACAATCCTTCTCCTACTCACCTCTCCTCACCCATCCTCTCTCCCTTCCCCTGGCCCAATACGCCCACACACACGATATCGAATGGTGTGAACTGACCCCGCGCCCTGAGGCTGAGGTCGGAGACACACTACTGTTCTGCAAGAAGTGCTGCCAGTATGCGACCTCGAAACCTTTGGGGCTCGGGAAGGTTTGTCCTAGTTTCGGGGTCGCGGGCTGGAAGCGGAATGAAGCGGCGCAGCAGAAGCTGCGCCGGTTTATGCAGCTGAAGCACCCGAGGTGCGGCAATGAGGACCGTATAGTCGCCCATTGGCCCCTCGCGGCGCAGGTTTATGAGGCCAGCCAGGCCGCCGAGCCCATGCCCCAGTAAGCGGGCCCCCGTTCCCCTGGCCATCGTCCAGAACTAGTTGAGGTGGAGGAAAGACCCACCCACCCGCCCAGTGTGCTGGCCTGGCCCTGACACTCGCCTTCCCCTCGTCCTCCTCTCCCCTCCCCCCCCTTCTGCCCCCCTGCCTCCTGCTCCTTATCCCCTCCGCCCCCTCCTCCCCTCCTGCTGCCCCGTGCCCCCGCGGCGTCTTCTCTGGGCCACAGCCTGCTCCTGCCCGATGTCCGCGACGGTGAGGATGGGCCTGTGCATCTCGTCGCTCACCTCCGCCGGGGCTCCGCAGGGCCCCGCGCCGCCCGGCTCCCCTCGTGGGGTCGCTCCCGCCCCCCCCTCCTCCTCTCGCAGGCCTAGAGATCGACACCAACACCGATTTCGGCGGTGTGCCTCCACCGAAGGCAGGAGATCCCGATCTCGGCGAGGGTGGTCATATTCCGGCCTCCAAGGTGGCCGAACTGTTACCACCAACACCGGAAATCTAGGATCACCTTCCCCCCGTGGAGGCAACCCCCTGTCTTGGTGTTGGTGCCAACTTCCAGGCCCCCCTCCTCCTCTGCGACGCCGGCGCCCCCGAGCCAGAGTCGCCCTCGTGCTGCCGCCTAGAGAGACGTCCGCGGCGCTCCCCGGGCCGCGCTCTGCAGGACCGAGGCGCGTCGTCCCGCGCTGCTCGCCCGACGAGCGCCAGCGGAGAGGCCCCGGGGCCCGGGCAGGGCGTCGAGCTGGGGCTCCGCGGACCTCGGCTTGCGCCACAGGGGTGAAGTCGGGCCTGTCCCCAATCAGTCTGGGGACTATTTTTTCAATGCCCCCAAAATAATTAGAAAATGTCCAAAAATAGTCTGGGGACCATTTTTGGAATATGACCGACCCTTTTGGGGCATTTTGGGGGTATCTTTTATTTTTCGTCGAAGATCCCTCTGTAGGGGGACAGGCCCGACATAACACAAAAGGTCTCTGTCAGGAGCCCCCGGGGGGGCCTCTTGGAGCCTCTGGGCCCCCTCCCCGGGGGGGCCGCCTCGGGGCACGGGCGGGAGGAGCCCGTCGGGGGCCGGGCTCGGACTCTGGTGTCTCCGTCTTGGGGGGCATGTGTTAAAAATATGGTTTCTGTCTGGGGGGGGGGCCTCCCCAATTAGGGCTATACTCGCGCCCCATTGAGCTCTGGACTGGAAGGGGCCCGCTCCCCAGACCCCCGACGTCATGATTTTTTCATGACGTCGAACCCCCGAGGTCTCGACCCATTCCCCGGGACCGGTTTTTCGTCCTGAGTCGTTTTTTGACGGTCCCGAGGGCCAGTAAGGGCCCCCCAAAGCGAAAAATAGTGAACAACCTCCCGTCGTGATTTTTTCATAACTCGAGGGGGTCTGGGTCCCGACCCGCAGACCCAAAAAATTGTCGGGGGGGGTGCTCCGGTGAGCGGAGCGGAGTAAAACGGCCGCGGCTCCCGCCGCTCGTGCTCCCGCTGCCGCCCGTGTCTCTCCTGACCTCCGCCCTCAGCCCCGCACCTCGCCAGGCCGTTCACCCCGCTCACGAGGGAGGAGGAGGAGGGAGGAGGAGGAGGAGGGAGGAGGAGGAGGGAGGAGGAGGAGGAGGAGGAGGAGAAGGAGGAGGAGGAGGAGGAGGAGGAGAGCCCGCCCCACCCGCACGTCGCCCCCGACCTCCGCCCCGCCCCAACAGTCAGATTCGACTCTTGGGGCCCTTGATCTGTCGGGGAAGAGCGATGGCTTGCACAGAGCCTCCCGGGCCTCCGAACGTTTGTGTAAATGGCGCTCTTTTCCCTTTGGTTTCTGGGGGGGGGGGCGAGGAGCCCAGAGATGGCTCCCAGCAGGTCCCCACGAATGTTCCAAGAGGTCCCCCCAATGCTGCCCTTCGTCGGGGGCTGCTCGTGCTGATCCCGGCTCCGATTTGGTCCATGTCCACGCTGTGTTTCACTGGGGTGCTTTTGTTCCTCATTTCGAGACAGCTTGCCCGATAGCCGTTTCTGCATTGGCTTGTGGGGGGCTGCGCGAAGCGTCAGGAAGTGAGCTCCTGGGAGGCCTTACGACACAACGCCGCACAGCAACCCTCCAGGCCGAACATGTGCGCCCTCGAGCGCGAAATCCAAACTTGGTCGCCGCCAACAGGATCGAGGAGCAAGGTCCTCGCTGGGGTACTGATCCATCTCAAGGCTCCGAGACAGCCAAAGATGGCTCCAAGAGTTCCCCCGAGGTCCCCTGGACCGTTCCAACACGCCTCAAAAGGCGGCCACACGCCCAAGAGGCCCTGACAGTCTGCCAAGGGGCCCCCGAGAGGTTCCTAGGGACCCGTCGGAGGCCAGCACGGTTGGCTCCTGTCGTGTCGACGTGGGCGTTTAAAACGACGCGAAGATCGGGACAAAATCGGATCGGGATAACTCGAAATCTCTGAGAATCGGCGGGTTTGGAGGATGTATTGGGCGCCGCGGCCGCTCCAGAGCGTTCCGGAACGCTCTGAGAGCGCTCCGGAACGCTCTGGAGCGATTTATCCCGATCCTAGCCCTGCTTTAGCGTTGGTTCCTGCCGCCGCGCCTGTCGTTCAGCCCTGAGCGATCTCGGCTGTGCGACTCCGGAGATCCTCCAAGGCGGGCCTGGTCGAGGCCGCTGCCGGCCAACGGCCTTGAACGACGGCGCTGGCGTCGCCGCCGCGTCGACGCGGGGCGAAACCGCTGTACAGTAGGGGCTCGACCACAAGAAACATCGCACAAGAAACCCAACCCTGAGACCCCAGGACGTCCATGGATTTTGGTGCGGGAACGTCGCGCTCTCAATGGCAAAACCATCGAAACCTAAGAAACCCAGGGCACCCTGGAGGCAAGCAGGGTGTTTCTTGGCATGGGTCTCCACTGTACACTGAAACACACAAAACATATGCCGCACGTTTTCGGGACCTCCATTGGGAATCTCCAGACCGCGTTGCGCGAGAGCCCCGGCCGGCCCCCGCTGGCCTGACTACACTTCGCAGCACCAAGGTCGAGCCGACAAGGCGGCACAGGAGCGCTCCCACGGGAGGCATTGAGAACTCGCGTGCCCGAGTTCACAGGCTGGGCGACGAAAAGAAAAGGCAGTGGGCGCTAGCGAGACGCCACAGACACGAGCAAGGAGGGAAAGTGCAGCAACAAGCTGTGTGCAGTATCAGCGCATGCAGATTTCGGCGAGCGGAACGCAGACACACATGGTGAACAATATCCCGAGCATGGACAACATGACCCCAACGTCCAGTTATCCCCCAAGCAATATTTGTGCTGAGAGGTCGCTGAGAACTCTTCTGCGTTGCTCAGTATTTGTCTTAGGCTTTCCGCCGACGAGCCGCCCATGGCCACCTCGTGCACTGGCTGTTTATCTTTTTGGCTTTCGTCCGGTCGCAGCAAGTGTTAAGTCGGGCGTGTCCCCCTACAGGGGGATTTTCGACGAACAAAAAAATCAAAAAAATCATCCAAAAATAATCAACAAATAATATGAGGACTATTTGTTGAATATTGTTTGACCTTTTGGGGTATTTGGGGAGTTTTTTTTTGTCGTCGAAAATCCCCCTGAAGGGGGACACGCCCGACATAAAGCAAGTGAGGATGGGTGAGATGTTTGCTCGAACCATGGGAGGTGGGTCACACGTGGATGCCCACATAGTCGCACTCCGTAGATTCTCCTTTCAAAGCAAAAGAATGGCCCAACCCCCTCCCGAATCCGGTCGCCCAGGGACACTACAAATTGAGTGTGATCCTGTCTCAGCGCTCGTGTCCTATATGAGTTCATACCATCCCAACCCGACCAGTATCGCCCTCCCTCATCCCTGTCAAACAACACCGTGCGTGAAGATTCGCTTGTCTCTCACAAGCATGTTTCGAGAATCCCTTTGGTAGCACAATGTCCACGCGTGCGCGTGCATATCAAACTCAAAACAAACAATTCAGTTATGCAAGCATTTCAAAATACAGGCATGGGAGATCTCTAAACTTTCCCATTTTACAGTTTGTCAGCCCTGATGGCAACTGATCGAGTGAGTCATGGAAGTGGCTATCCACGCGGCAAGGCCGTGTGGAGGCGGCGAACCGACAAAAGCAGCGCGGGCTAGCAGCAGCTCCCGGGAGGGAGCGGCCGACAAAACCGGGCGGCACGTCGGTGGCCCAGCCCCGCGCGCAGCCGGCGCAGGCTGTCCAACTTTCCGCACGGGGCAGATCCACCCTGGCGCGCCCCGTGCCGCGACCCAGGGCGAGGGACAGGCGAGGAGAGGAGGAGGGAGGGAGGGAGGGGAGGAAGGGAGGGGAGGAAGGGAGGGAGGAAGGGAGGGGAGGAGGGAGGAAGGGAGGAAGGAAGGAGGAACGGAGGGGAGGAAGGGAGGGAGGAGGGAGGAGGAGAGGAGGGCGAGGAGAGGAGGAGGGAGGAAGGGGAGGGGAGGAGGGCGGCTGCGCGCTCACGTCGAGCGCTCGGGGCCTCCACGGCCGCCGAAAGAGACTGCCGACCACGAGCGACGGATCGGCACCAGGCACAGGAGGGAACCGGGGGCGAGGCGGAGGGAGGAAGAGAAGGGAGGAGGGCGACTGCACGCTCACGTCATGCGCTCGGGGCCTCCGCAGCCGCAGAAAAAAAACTGACAGCTGCGAACGGCAGATCGGCACCACCAGTCGGAGGGAAGGGGGCGAGGCGGAGGGAGGCGGAGGACGGAGGAAGAGAGGGGAGGGGGGTGACTGCACGTTCATGTCGAGCGCTCGGGGCTTCCACGGCCGCGGAAAGACCAACTGGAGGACAGAGGAAGGGAGGGGACGGGGAGGGCTGCACGCTTATGTCGAGCGCTCGGGGCCTCCATGGCCGCGGAAAGACCAACTAGCTACGATCGACAGATGGGCGCCACGAGTCGGAAGGAGGGGGGCGAGGCAGAGGGAGGCGGAGGCGGGGGACGGAGGAGCAGGGAAGGGGAGCAGCAGCGCGCTCATGCCGAGCGTTCTCGGCCTCCACAACCGCGACTCTGCCCGCGCCAGACTGTGCCCAGGACCTTATTCTGGTGAGCGCCACCTGCCTGGAGCAGCGCGGGGTGTTGGAAATTGCATCCGAGAATAAGCATAAACGTGCAGAAAGAGGAAGGGAGGACCTGGAGCAGCGCGGGGTGTTGGAAAATGCATGCGAGAATAAGCATAAACGTGCATAAAGAGGAAAGGTGTAGTCGGGCCTGTCCCCCTACAGGGAGATTTTCGACGAAAAATCAAAAGTACCCCAAACATCATCAACAAATAATGCGAAAATAGTCTGGGGACTATGCTTCTA